CAAAGAGGCTTGGTCCTTTGTAAGAGCTGTAGCTGTAACACTTCCGCTGCTGATCCTGCCCTACAAAGAGGCTTGGCTCTTTGTAGGAGTTGTAACACTTGAGCTGTAGCTGTAACACCTCCGCTGCTGATCCTGCTCTACAAAGAGGCTTGGCCCTTTGTAAGAGTCCTTTTCATAGGAGTTGTAACACTCGTATCCTGCCCTGCAAGGAGGTTTGGTTCTTTGAGCTGTAAATAAAACCTCACTGTTCGTTCTATGGTCTATCGATTTCATTCATCGAATCGTTGAGACCAAGAGCCTGGAAATCCAGTGTTAAAAATCCGGTATCAACAACACTGAAGACACAAGTTACCAGAACACATGGGATACGGCAAAAGCAGTCTTAAGAGGGAAATTTATCACATTAGATGCCTATATTCAAAAAACAGAAAGAGAGTGCATCAAAAACTCATAAACATCTTATGGAATTGGAAAAAGAAGAACAGTCTAATCCCAAACCCAGAAGAAGAAAAGAAATAACCAAAATTAAATAAGAGATTAATGAAATTGAAAACAAAAGAATCATTCAGAAAATTAGCAACACAAAAAGTTGTTTTTTTGAAAAAATAAATAAAATTGATAAACCTTTGGCCAGATTAACTAGAATCAGAGAAGTAAAATCTCTAGTCACCTCAATCAAAAATGATAAAGGAGGAATAATAACAGATGCCACTGAGATACAAGAGATCATCTCTAAGTACTGTAAGAAACTCTGTGCCCAGAGATTTGACTAGGTGGAGAGAATGGATCGATACCCAAATCACACCTTCTCTTTAGTCTTAACCAGGAAGAAATAGATCTTTTGAACAGACCAATTTCAAGAACTGTGATTAAAGAAACAATAAAAAAAGTCTCAACAAAAAAACACCCTTGTCCAGATGTCTTCACACCAGAATTCTATCAAATCTTCAAATAAGAGCTTATACCCATACTGCAGAAATTGTTTCAAAAAATTGAGAAGGATGGACTCGTTATCAACATATTCTACAAAGCAAACATCACCCTGATACCAAAACCAGGAAAAGACCCAACTAAAAAGAAGAATTTCAGACCAATTTCACTAATGAATATAGTTGTAAAACTTCTCAATGAAATCCTCCCTAATAGATTACAGCTACACATTTTAAAAAGTCATTCAACTCCCGCGGGTATCGCGGGTGGACCAATGATGGGCACTGGGAGGCGTGGCACCTGCGCAGCGGTTTGAGTAAGCGCTGCCGGATTGGCTGAGGGGTCAGGCGGCCGCGCGGGGCCTGTGCGAATCGAAGTGACCGAGGGAGCGGCTGTTGAAGGAAGGAGTAAATATGAAACAGGTGTCAAAATGACATCCAGATTTAAGGAAGCATACAGTAGAAGAGGAGGAAATGGCTGTTCAAAGTCTGATGAAGTCTTCTCCAACAAACGGACCACCCTTAGCACAAAATGGGGAGAGACCACATTTATGGCTAAATTAGGGCAAAAGAGGCCCAATTTCAAATCAGATATCCAAGAAATTCCAAAAAAACCTAAAGTGAAAGAAGAAAATACGGGAGATCCTTTTGGATTCGATAGTGATGATGCGTCTCTACCAGTTTCTTCAAAGAATTTAGCCCAGGGTAAGGGTTCCTCTTATTCAGAATCTTGTATAGCTGCTCAGCAGGAAGGAGTCACCTCAGTACTTAAAGCTAATAGCCAAACTAGTCAGTCGGTGGGTGAAGACAGTGATGTCTCTGATAAATGCTTACCTTTGGAGGAGACTTTGCTTGGGAAAGAAGAGAGCACAAACAGAACCTTAGAAGATGATGCAAACATAAGTAGCCGTGCTAAGTTAATGACTTCAGTTAAGGTGGAGAATTTGCACGAAGAATATGAAAAGAAGAGCCACTATAGTCTCAGAAATGCTGAAGACAGCGCTGAGAAACCCAAGGCAGAAACTACAGTGGCCTCTGGATATAAAACTGATGAAATCAAGGAAACAAATGATACTTGGAACTCCCAGTTTGGGGAAAGGTTTGAATCACCATCAGAAATATCTCCAGTCAAGGGATCTGTGAGAACCGGTCTGTATGTATGGGATAATGATTTTGAAGATATCAAATCAGAAGATTGTATTTTAAGTTTGGATAATGATCCCCTTTTGGAGATGAAGGATGAGGATTTTAAAAGTCGATTGGAAAATCTAAATGAAGCCACTGCAGAAAACATTGTGCAAAGGCTTCTTAGGCCAAGCAACTGTAGGACGTATTGTAGGGCGAATAAAGCAAAATCTGCACAGGGAGCATCACATTTGGGTAAGCTAATGGATGGCACCAGTCAGGCCTTAGCCAAAGCGAACAGTGAATCAAGTAAAGATGGCCTGAATCAGGCAAAAAAAGGCGGTGTAAGTTGTGGGACCAGTTTTAGAAGGACGGTTGGACAGACCAGAGACTACACTCTTTTACATCCATCTTGCTTGTCAGTTCGTAATGTTACTCTACAGGATACTATGGAAGGAAGCCTGGATGAGTTCTCTGCAGCCGCTCCTGCAGATTTGGGAAAAGCTGGTCGGCTCAGCAAAAAGGCAGATATTGCAACTTCTAAGACCACTACTAGAGTTCGACCTAGTAATGCTAAATCCAAAAAGGATGTTAAACTGGAATTTTTTGGTTTTGAAGATCATGATGCAGAAGGTTCTGGAAGTTCTAATTACAAAATTAAATATTTTGGCTTTGATGATCTCAGTGAAAATGAAGATGATGAAGATGATGACTGTCCAATGAAAAGAAAGACAAGCAAAAAAAGAACTAAAACAGCTCCATCACCCTCCTTGCAACCTCCTCCAAAAAATAATGATAATCCCCGGGGCAGTCGGTCTAGTACTAATAAGGCACAAAACTTCGATTTTACAGAAGACTTGCCTGCTGTGCCTGAAAGTTTGGAGAAGCCCATAAATAAACAAAGAGACAAATCAAAAGAAAATACCAGAAAGATTTTTAGTGGCCCCAAATGGTCACCTACAAAAGCTGTATATAATGCCAGACATTGGAACCATCCAGATTCAGAAGAACTGCCTGGACCACCAGTACTAAAACCTCAGAGTGTCACATTATATACCATCGTTCAGCATGTGAAGCAATTCAATGACGTGGTGGAATTTGGGGAAAATCAAGAGTTCACTGATGACATTGAATATTTGTTAAGTGGCTTAAAGAGCACTCAGCCTCTGAACACACGTTGCCTGAGTGTTATTAGCTTGGCTACTAAGTGTGCCATGCCCAGTTTCCGACTGCACCTGAGGGCACGTGGAATGGTAGCAATGGTCTTTAAAACCTTGGATGATTCTCAGCACCATCAGAATCTTTCCCTCTGTACAGCTGCCCTTATGTACATACTGAGTAGAGATCGCCTGAACATGGATCTTGATAGAGCTAGCTTAGATCTGATGATTCAACTTTTAGAACTGGAGCGAGATGCTTCGCCAGCTAAGCTACTGAATGAAAAAGACATGAACAAAATTAAAGAAAAAGTCCGAAGACTCTGTGAAACTGTGCACAACAAGCATCTTGATCTAGAAAACATAACGACTGGGCATTTAGCGATGGAGACGTTATTGTCCCTCACGTCCAAACGAGCAGGAGACTGGTTTAAAGAAGAACTGCGGCTTTTGGGTGGTCTGAATCATATTGTAGATAAAGTGAAAGAATGTGTGGATCACTTAAGTAGGCATGAGGATGAAGAGAAACTAGTGGCTGCCCTATGGGGAGCAGAGAGATGTTTACGAGTTTTAGAAAATGTAACAGAGCATAATCCAGAGAATCAAAGCTACTTGATAGCATATAAAGATTCGCAACTCATTGTCTCGTCAGCTAAAGCATTACGACATTGTGAAGAACTGATTCAGCAGCGTAACTGTGCTGAAGACAGCATATGCTTAGGGGACAGTAAACCTCTGCCTAACCATGTGGGCAAAGCAGTGGAGGACTGCATGAGGGCCATCTTTGGGGGGTTGCTTAATTTAACTAATGATAATGAGTGGGGCAGCACCAAGACTGGAGAACAGGATGGCCTCATCGGCACCGCAATGAACTGTGTGCTTCAGCTTCCCAAGTACCTACCTCAGGGGCAGAGATTTGATATTCGAGTGCTGGGCCTATGTCTCCTGATAAATCTAGTGGAGCGGAGCGCTCGGAATCGGCACTGTCTCGTCAACATGGAAACATCGTGTTCTTTTGATTCTTCCTTCTACAGTGGAGAAGAAAAGGATAGTCTGAGGATACCTGGACCAGTTCACGCTGTTCAGGCTTTAGTGCAGCTATTTCTTGAGCGGCAGAGAGCAGCACAGTTGGCAGAAAGTAAAACAGATGAGCTGATCAAAGATGCTCCCGCCACTGCGCATGATAAGAGTGGAGAGTGGCAAGAAACCAGTGGCGAAATACAGTGGGTGTCAACTGAACAAACGGATGGCACAGAAGAGATACGTAAGAAGGAGGAAGAGGGTGAAGAACTTGACCTCAATACAGCCCTTCAGCAGGCTGACAAAGACATGGAAGATTACATCCTGGCCTCCTACACGGCACTACTCCTCGGGTGTCTCTGCCAGCAAAGTCCCATCAGTGTGACCACCGTGCGGAAATATCTGCCGGGAGGAGACTTTTCAATAATGACAGAGATGCTCCGAAAGTTCTTGAGCTTCATGAATCTGACTCGTGCTGTTGGAACAACAGGCCAGAAGTCCATCTCTAGAGTGATTGAATATTTGGAACATTGCTAGCTGCTTTCCCTTTACTTCAGGTGCCTGGTAATGCTGGAGCTATTTTTAGACACAAGTCATGAAAGAAGTCCTTGAAGATATACCAAGAACGTGCGTCAGTGTCATTCGTGTTTGGGTTTCTAAACCCACCTGATTTCTTCCTCACACATCCTGCATTTGCTAAAGGACAGTTACTACGTCAATCTGCAACTATCAGAAATGAGGGAAAAGGTTCCGCCTGTTAACAATTCCGAGCAGTATTTAAATACTTACCCTCGGCAAGGTTGAAAGGGAGAATTTGAGCTGCCGTTCGTGCCACTGCCGTGTAGGTTGAGCCACTGCTGTCATGCCAGCCAGGTGCAAAGGCAGCTTAAGCTACTGAGGTATCGAATGTTCTGCGGACATTCTAGACAACAGCTTAGTGCCTTTTTCAGGCTCATTTGCGTTTGCCTTTTTGTTGAATGATTCCAACCGTAAATAAAGCTTTTCGTACCTTTGTGAATTTTGTGGTCGTTGTTCCCTGAACTACTGTTTATATTTAAAATTAGATGGAATCCAAAGACACAAGGGATTAATAGTATATTTTTTTATTCTTGATTAGGTTTGGGTTATTGGACTATTTTTCACTTTTGTGACCACGACCATATCCAATATCATACCATAATGTGTCATAACTGTAGACACAAGAGAACAAATAGCATTTGAGGGAATATTGTATAAGATGATGTGCCCTGTTAAAGGAATAAGCAAAATATACAAACCCAGGGTAGTTTACACTTAACGCTAGGGAGGGTCTTGAAACATTATTCAGTTTTGAGGGAAGATTCTCCAGATATAGTTTCTAATGTTCAATACAATCAGTATAAGGAAGCTAAAACACCCATGCAGAATTCGTGTTTCCAGATAACAGGTATATTCTTCTATAGAATGACGGGGTCAGTTGCATAAACGCAAAGCCTGAACTTTTTTCATTCAGATTCTTTGTTCATAAAACGATTGTTTGAAAAGAACAGTTATGGACCACACAAAACATTTTATAGGTGTAGTTTTATGATGTCGCAAATTTTTCTTTTACTAATTATTCAGACCTCTGGTTATAACGGTTCTTTTTTTTTTTTTCTTTTTTATTGATTGGGCCTGAATACAGGCTTTCCAGAGATATGTTTCATTAATACTTTCAAATACTCTTCAGGGAGTTACATTATGTTTCACATTGGATTTATAAAACTTAAGGCCATAAAAATATTGGTTTGGCATGTATTGGGGAAAGTAGCTTAAAGTCTAATTTTTACCCATTTAGACTTTATTTCCTTGTATAAAGTGTCAAATCGGGGCTCTTGTATCAGTGCCAGCTGTAATGTTTTTTAATGCAGTGGCTGCCTTCTCTTGTCTTCCTATTTTTGACAATGCAGATTGTTGGGAAATCTATAAAGAAGTAACTGATTCCAGGCAAATTGTTTCCTTCTTCCCTTCTACCCACCCCAACCCCTACCTATCTCTTTTTAAGAACATAGTAGACCAGGGTAACATGGGAGAGATTGAAATTGTATTTGCCCTGAGTATAAAAGCTAGCTTAGCAAACTACTTTCAAAACATATCAGTAAATGATACCCATAAAATTAAGTTAGTTAGATATGTTTTGCTTAATTATTTTAAAGTACATTGGCATTTATTAATCATTCATTGGCTTTAGGGAAAGAAACAGATTGGGTAAAACTGACTCCTCTCAGAGGGTGAGACTATTAGGAAGCATTTGGATGAGAACAATCAGGGTGACCTACACCCTGTGTAGGTCTTGTTCTGTTACACTGGTAATCATTTTGAGAATCTCAGTGTTTAACAGTTTTTTGTTTTGTTTTGTTTCTTAAATAGTAACTAATTGTCAAGCACTGATAGAGACGCAGATTTTGGTGGAGGAAGCAGTGGGGGAGTTGGCACCTCACTGACTTTTGCAGTGCATTTGTGTGCTTTTAACCCTCAGAGAACTCTGCATTTAAGGAGGAAGGGGAGGTGAAAGGAGGGAAGGTATTTGGAAGGACCTAACCTAATGTGCATGATGCAATGGTACATTTCAAAACTATTAAGAAAAGAATATAATAAAAAAAAAATTCCACTCAATAAAAAAATGCACATTCTTTTCAGGAACATTGCAAATAGAACACTTAGCAACATAGATTGTATCCTGTACCATAAAAGAAGTTTTGATCAATTTAAAAAAGAATCCAGTCATACAAAATATATTCTCTGATTATAAGAGTATTTAATTAGATATTGACAATAGAAAGATATCTGAAAAATCTCCAAATATTTGAAACAAACACAATTATAATTAAATCATGGATGAAACAAGAAATCAAGAGATAAATTAACATTTTGAACTGAATGAAAATAAAAACACAATATAATAAAAAAAAGAAAAGAATATAATTGTGATGGATGTGTTAATCAGTTCAATGTAAGCATCTCACATTGAATATCGAATCAGTATACTGAACCCCATAAATGCATCAATGTACGCAGTTATGATTTAATAAAAACAAAAATTTTAAAAATAAAAAATAGAAAAAAGTAAAAAAAGAAGAACTCTTCATTTTAGGGTACTTGAGGCTGACTTGCAAATTAAAGTTTTAAAGTAACTTTTTTTTTCCATTGTAAATATTTCTGTAAATAATACCTATTGGAAATTAGAACAGTAGAGTACTTTTCTGAATCCAATTCTATTTTTATTTTATACAATATTTCTCAGCTGTGATCTTTGGGGCAAAAGCCAATGGTAGGAAAAAAATAGTTTTTACCAGTTTCATGAAATATATCTTTGGGTTGTTGTAAATAATGTTAACTCAAATAAAATTGCTACTTGCAATACAAAAAAAAAAAGTCATTCATCACAATCAAGTAGGTTTCAACCCAGGGATGAAAGTCTGGTTTAACATACACGAGTCCATAAATATAATTCACCATATCAACAGAAGCAAAAACAAAGACCATACGATCCTCTCAATAGATGCAGAAAAAGCATTCGATAAAATTCAGCATTCCTCTCTAATTAGAACACTTAAGAATATAGGCATAGGTGGCACATTTCTGAGTCCAATCAAAGCCATTTATGACAAATCCATAGCTAATATTATACAGAATGGAATAAAACTGAAAGGTTTTCCACTCAGAACTGGAACCAGACAAGGTTGTCTTCTACTGCCACTATTATTCAATATAGTGCTAGAAGTTCTAGCCAATACAATTGTGCAAGAGAAGGAAATAAAGGATATCCAAATGGGGACAGAGGAGGTCAAACTCTCATGCTTTGTCAACAATATGATCTTACAGAGAACCCCAAAGACTCAACCACAAGACTCCTGGAAGTGCTAAAAAAAAAAAAAAAGTACTGCAATGTCTCAGGATATAAAATCAGTGTCCACAAATCAGTAGTCTTTGTATATGTCAAGAATAGCCAAGATAAAAAGCTAATCAAAGACACAGTTCCCTTCACAGTAGCTTTTTTAAAAAAAAGAAAGAAAGAAAGAAATACCTAAACAAAAGCGGTGAGGACTTCTACAACAAAAATTACAAAACTCTAAAAATAAAGAAATAGAAGATATTAACAAATGGAAGAACATACCATGCTCCTGGCTGGGAAGAATCAACATTGTCAAAATGTGTATACTTCCCAAAGCAATCTACAGATTCAGTGCAATTCCCATTAAAATACCATCATCATACTTGCAAGGTTTGGAAAAAATGATTCTTCATTTTGTATCGAACCAGAATAAACCCTGTATAGCCAAGGCAATTCTTAGTATTAAGAACAAAGCCAAGGGTATCACCCTACCAGACTTTTGTCTATACTATAAGGCCATAGTGATCAAAACAGCATGGTATTGGCACAAAAATAGAGACATTGACATTTGGAACTGAATAGAAAACCATGAGACGAAACTAACATCTTACAGACACCTGATCTTTGATAAGCCAAACAAGAACATACACTGGGGGAAAAAAATCTCTATTCGGTATATGGTGTTAGGAGAACTGGATAACCACATGTAAAAGACTGAAACTGGACCCACACCTCTCACCACTTACAAAAAGTGATTCAGGATGGATAAAAGATTTAAATCTAAGGCATGAAACAATAAAAATCCTCAAAGAAAGTGTGAGGAAAACACTTGAAGATGTCAGCCTAGGGAGAGATTTTATGAGGAAGATTTACAAAATTCCCAACAAAAAAATTAATTGATATGCTGTGACTCAACAGTGATTACAGGTTCCACAGAAGATCACAACAACAACAAAAATAAACAAATGGGACCTAAACTGAAAAGCTTCTATACAACTAAGGAAACAACAACCAAAGCAAATAAATGGACAACCTTCAGAATGGGAAAAGATGTTTGCATATTATGAATAGGTCAAAAGCTTGATAACTAGGATCTATAGAGAACTCGAATTAATCAACAAAAAAGACCAAACAACCCCACATATCACTGGGCAAGCTACATGAATCAAACCTTCTCTAAAAAAGACAGATGAATGGCTAACAAACATATGTAAAAATGCCCATCATCCCTAGTCAATAGAGAAATGCAAATCAAAACTTCCCTGAGATATCATCTAACCCCAGTGCAAACAGCCCACATCACAAAGTCTCAAAGCTGCAGATGCTGGTGTGGATGTGGAGAGAAGGAAACACTTTTACACTACTGGTAGGACTGAAAACTAATAAATCCTTTTTAGAAGGAAGTATGGAGAATCTTCAAAGAACTCATGTTCTTGTAAAAAATGTCTATACTTCCCAAAGCAATCTACAGATTTAGTGCAATTCCCATTAAAATACCATCATCATACTTTCAAAGTTTGGAAAAAGTGATTCTTCATTTTGTATGGAATCAGAATAAACCCTGTATAGCCAGGGCAATTCTTAGTAATAAAATCAAAACCAGGGGTATCACCCTACCAGATTTTTGTCTATACTACAAGGCCATAGTGATCAAAACAGCATGGTACTGGCATGATACCTCCTAT